CCGCCCATGTGGCTCTATTAAATCTTATTGAACCATTAATCAACTTCCAATCTAACCCAATTATAGGCTTCTCACCGATGACCAGTCAAAGCATGCGACTAACTCTGACAATGATTCCCATAAAGCAAACAGTTCTTCACTCAGGTATCATTTGGTTGTTGCTTTTACTAATTACTTTTTGCTTCTGGAAGCTTAAAAGTAAAAAACATGTATGGATACAAAAGCAAACAATATAAAAGAATTAAAAATAAAAAATGGAACTATTTCTAAGAACAAAATGCATGATTTTACCTTTTGTAAGCAAGAGTTCTGTAGAATTTATGTCTCAATTGATTCATTTGTTATCTGTTAATCAGTTATGGTTTTAGTTTCTCCCATCTGCTTTTGCTTCGAAAAAGACTTCTGATGAAGCAAAATGCCAAAAGTAAAAGCAACAGTCAAACAAAGCCTTAATTAATTGGAAATTGTAGGGAACTGATGCTAATTTGAGTTAATCAATTAACCTCTCACCAACAGCAAGCAAAGGATGCTTGACAATGAGAGCCACTGACATTATATTTGTTTGAAGGCTTACAATTTTTTCTTTTAGGTCTAAGCTAGATTGCAATTGCAACCTTTCTCTATATACATGTCCACCTACAAATAAGCAAACTTCTCTTTTTTTTCCTCAATGCAACAAAGCCGTTTTGTATAGTCAATAACCAGTATGTATAAAAAGAAGTGTTTTAAATACTCCCTCATCATTCTTTTCTCTAAGTTTTCATTCTTATATTCTTCTTAGATTATATCAAACAGAATGCTTATGACATCAGATTGCATTGCCATTTAACCCCAATACACCACAGTCAGTCCTCTACCCCACAGTCCAGTCACTTTTACAGGTCCATGTAAACCCTTGACTACCAATCATTTAGGCAAGTTCTAACAAGCTTTTCAAGACACAGAACAGTGCCATGGACAAACCTTTCCACTTGCATCTTTGCCCGGTTCACATGACTCACCCTGCCATTACAAAATCAAGACTTACATATAATCATAAAGTAATGTAATGGAAGGAGAAGATGATTATATATTCCCTCATAACACACTGAAAAAGCATACTATTTACTTTAGGAAGATTATAAAATTTTCACACCTGCAGATGCCATATTAGAATATGCGCAAATATGTCACTTCTATGAGCAGCTCTAAGCAAATACCCTTCTACTAACCTCTGCAAAAATGAAAAATCATTAATGTGAATATTAAGAAGTGTTTAAAGCAGTATGAGAAGGTGTAAGCAACAAGATAATGTCAGTCTGCCATTCTAGCAATTAAGGACAAGTAGGATAAACCCAATCTTCAAGCCTAATGATCAAACACTTGACGTATCCAAGCAAATCGAGTTTCCAATCATTCCAAAACATATGTCAGATTAAACAGTGCTAAGCACTTTAACGTCTTTTTGGTGGTGTTTGAGTAGGAGGAAAAATATCAGATTAACATAAAACACTAAATTTTGATCAATGCACAATGCTATTTTATCCACATAATGGTTAAAGCTGTCATAGAGGCAATGTTGATTGATTACTTAGCACAAAAGATATCATGCTCAAGTTGGTTTGATTTGCTCAGGACCTTGTGTCAAAATATTGAGATAGGGGCTGCAATCTCTCAACCTAGCCCAAATATAAGCATGCAACATATACACCTATGGCCTATGCTGTTTCAGGTTAACTTCCTAATGTTGCACCTGTACAACAAAAAACAACATATAAATAAAATAAATACCCATATCTTCGTTGATGGCTTACCCCTTCATCATATCGCAGAGCTTGCACGAGTTGTGGCATGAAGAAGGTTACACGTTCAGGAGGATATGACTCCAAAACCCTTAGAACATAAGCCATGACACGTGGATGACCCTTATATACAGGAGAAAGAAATTCGAGAGCTTGTGTAATTGAACAAGCAGCCCAGTGAGGCAGTTGTTGCAAAAGTGCTGAATTATCATCGACTGCCTTTGGGGTGACAAAATATGGCAATGCCTCAGGTATATAACGAATGTCCAATATATTTGACTGCAGCAGAAATGCCAATAATATCAGGAAGCAAATCAACTAAGATCATGTCATCATGCATAAAAAAATTAAAATAAGAAAAGCAGAAAAAACACCACAAGTTTTTCTAGCATGTTCAGCATAATAACCACAATAACAATGTACTCCTGAATGGCAACTGCATCTCCTTACCACCTAAATAGTTGATAGCCATGCACTAATTTAGAAGTTTCAATTCTCTGCAATCCTAATTCCAGATACTCAGTGTAAGGCAAGCATACCTGTACTAGCTGAGTTATTTCAGCCTTCAGATAAGTGTTTGTCGGGAACCTTGAGGCCAAGGAAAAAGCAATTCGAGGATCCACTGAGAAGGCAGTCCTAACATATTCGACCCATTTGTCTGCGCTGATTTTAGACCGAGAAGATATGCCTTCCCTGAATATAAATAAAAATACAAATAACAAAAATTTACAACAATCATGAAGACATTAATGGAACATAAGGACCCCCAAAAAATCAACAAAAGAGATTATGCTGAAAAGTAAAAATACTTCAAAAGAGGTTGTGCCCAAACTTCAAGCCTATCAGCTTCATGCTGGCAAAGCATTAGAAGTAAATGCTTTCTTTTTTCTCGTCCCACTGCATAGTTGCCCATCTGGCCCCAGACCGGGTGATATTGATCACTCTGGAAATGTTGAAATAACTTTAGGAATAACCAGTACACCAGCTAACATAATCATATGGCAACAGAAAACGCATATAATCCAGATACAGAATGTCTTATTCAAGCTTGAAACATTTGAAAACAATGGAGGCTGAAATATGACCATCTTACCACATCAACCAAAGAGTTCCCATTCTCACGTGCACGGCCCTTGGAATCAGATTGCAGAAAATCTACCTTCTCATTTGAAAGATAGTGAACAAAAACAGATACAGATTGAGCCTCACTCTGAGCAAAATTCATATTGTTTGTGTCATACCACTCAGGCTCATAAGCAAACCAGCCCAAAGAGGCCCTGCACACACCAAAACCAACTTTAAATACAACTACAAAGGTATGCTATAAAAACTAGAATTGAATAATGGAACACATGCAGGCACAAGTTGCTGTTGCTGTGGCGACGCCAAAAAAATACAAGAAAAACAGTATTTAGATATAAGAGTCCGTTTGGTATCAGGGATGTAAAGCACATTCCCTGCAATGTGGCTTATTAAATTACATTGCAGTGTTTGTTTTGTAACAGACCACTGCAATGTAAGATTGCAATGCAATCACATTACAGCCAATGGATGTAATGTGATTGCAGTCCAAAACCAATGCAATCACATTACATTGCACTCTGCAATGTTCTTAAAGACAATTTTACCTTTCAACTTTATTACCTTATTAAAAATATTTTATAATATTATAATTAAAATAAAAAATATTAAAATAAAATATATAATATAAGAATAAAAATTAAAATAAAATAAAATATAAAAAATTAACATTTATATAATATAGGTAAAACAAATTAAAATAAAATATATAATATAAAAAATATATTAAAGAAATAAAAATAAAATATATAAAATTATAATAATAAATAAAAATAAAATATATGACATTAAAAATATATTTAAAATATGATATTATATAAAAATTAATAATATAAATATAAATATATTAAAAATAAAATATAAAATATTATAATAATAAATAAAATAAAATATATGACATTAAAAATATATTTAAGAAATGATATTATATAAAAATTAATAATAAAAATATAAATATATTAAAAATAAAATATAAAATATTATAATAATAAATAAAAATAAAATATATGATATTAAAAATATATTTAAGAAATGATATTATATAAAAACTAATAATAAAAAATATGAATATATTAAATTTATATTTTAATAATTAGGGGTAATTTTGACAATTAACATTACATTCCCACTAAAGTACTTGTAAACCAAACACTGTAATGTTATCTTCCTGCATTTTAATCATTATTTTGCTTGTATACCAAACACTGTAATGTTATTTTCTCTGTAATCACATTGCTTACAATCACATTACTTGCAATCACATTACCTATAATCACATTGCATTGTAATGTATCAAACGCCACCTAAATGTTTGAACCCTGCTTAATTTTTTTTGGAACCAATGATTAAGTCTAATGGGGAAAGGGGATTTCAAAGCTTAGACATTATCCCTCCTGAGAAGAGGTTGCAACCACTAGGCCAAGCCTTGGGAGTTAAATTCTACTTAATTTAATCAAACTAATCTCAGCCTCAATACGGAAAACCCAAAGTCCTCAATGGGTTCGTAGATGAAAGAAACTCAAGGTATTTAGAATTCCAAACTCCATCTACAATTGAATTTCTTAGCAAATGTTTGACATGCACCATTGGCAGTGAATGTTTCACAAATGGAACACAGAAGCATGTCTAAACAGTCAGATACTGAATCAATGTAAATTGATATAAATGTCTTTGTCTGATGTAAATATTATTTAAACATAGATCACAAGTTTGAACTTCATCCTTTGGCACAAAGATGTCCTAGTGGTGAAAGCTAAATAAAATAAAAAACAATACAAGGCCTCAGTAATTGTCAAATGCATAACATTATCCCAATTTGAAAAATCATAACAGTTGCCTTTTTAATAAACAAACCCTATTCACCCTTTTGGGCAATCAAAACTTCCATAGGCCATATATAATATTTCATCCTTTGAGGCCATATAACAAGTTCAATGGCACACATTTCAGGATGAAGACTAGGGTAAATAATATGTGTGTGTGTGTGTGTGCACACGCGCTTGTATGCATGTATAAAAGCAAGAAACTAACACAATCATTCTTATACTCTTCACTGCAAGGACAAAAAACACTTTTTACAATAATTTGCAAAACAACATTGCAGAGATTATAGGAAACCAGGTAAAAAAGTCGACGACTTGTCCACAAACGGGAAAAGAAAAAGAAAAAGGTGTAGATTGAAAGTGAAAGAAGGAGAGTCAACCGTAGTTACCGGTATATTCTATCTTCCAACAGATGAAGCCCAGTTCTAAAATTCTGCAAATTCCCTTGGGATTGGCATGAGCAGAACTTAAGACCAAGAAGCATGAAGGTGAAGAAGGTGCCAGTGGCTGCCGGATGATGAGAAAACTTCCAGGGAAGTTGGGTTGTTCCTTGCAACATCCGGCCAAGGAGCAAAAGTTGCTCAACACTATTGTGACGAACTACCTATACAACCCCAGCAAGATAAAAAGATATAGCCATATTAAAATCAGTAGAATCATAGGTTGGAATGTACATAAACATAAAGAATATCAATACATAGTAAAAATAATAATAATAAATACCAAATGCACAAACCAGACACCCAAACATTACTCCATTTATGTTCAAAAGAAGTTCAGTGATAAACCGTGAGCACAAACAACATCATGGAATACACTTATGAGAAAGAGAAAATACAAATTATCTGTTACCTCAAAGCGATCAATGAAAAATCCCAGCCATAATCTATGAGCAATTATTTGGTCAACAGGATTGATATCAGGCAGTGCCTCTGGTTCTCCAGGGGCCAAGTGGGGCCTTAATTTTGCAGCAGGCCCTGAGTATTTCATGTCAGATGCAAAGAGACCTCGTTTTGTATCAATGGTCCATAACCATGCATCAACAAGTTCAGCAAGGACAAGAGACCCCAGTTGTGGAGCAGCAGAAACCAGCCAAGTCCAGATGAAAACACCAGTCTCCATAGCATCAGGGGTAGAAATAAAAGCTGGACACCAGCAGAGAAGACGCAGAAGTTGTGAGAAGCCCTCCAAATTTGCTTTTCTATCAGAACCCTGAAAAGGAATGAACCGTTCAAAGTCAAAGGGTGAAATGGAACTCAAAATACTTCTCAGCATTTGAGAATACATATATTATGAAATAATGATAGCTCTACCAGATTTGACAAAAGCAATGCAGTTGCCTGAGAACAAGTTTCATGGAACTGTGACTTATCCACTTCTCCACCTTTCTCTGCACTAGTAACAAATTGTCGAAGGAGACTAACAAACTTTTCCAGTAAAATCTCATTAAATGAATCATCCTTAGTTTGTGGTGGTTGAGATAATGCTCCAGAGATCAACCTTTGGAGGCCAATACTTAAACCTGTTTGTGGAGAACCAGATTCCAATCCACCAAAGCTATTATACAGCCTTCTCATGCCAGCAATTTCTCCAGCATGATTGCATTTAACTGTTGCACTGACTATACCAGTACTAAGGACCTCTAAGATGAAGGCTTCTGACAATTTTAAATTTGCTCCTGAAGCTGCAGCTGCTGCGGCCATGACCGCAGGAATATTTGCCGTTCTTATTCCAGCCCAACAATCACTCTTCCCTGTACCAATCCTTATCTCAGATAATAGAGACACCACATCAGTTGTATGATGTGCCTTCTGCCATGTGTTTGCTTTGCAGAGCTTTTCCTGTGGTATATATTTGGAACCACAAACAAGAAATTAAAAGATCCACGAAGAAAAGAAACAAATCAAGTCATTTTAAAAATGGCTTTGGCACCGAGAGATACCAAAAGAACAGCCTTAATGTTTATACAATTAAAAAAACCACCAAAAAGATCATAACTGAAATTAGTTAAGCCCAATATTTCTCATTGTGTGTCTATATATAAAAAATTAAAAAATAGTCCAATTTTCATCGAAAACAAAACAGCCCACACAAGACATCCTAGTAGTAAATGACAAAAAATGTTCAAAATAATGCAAAAGGAAACTAATATCCATTACCAACACAGGATTCACATACTCAAGGTGAGGGGGAATATTAAATGAAAGAATAAATAACATATACAGCCACCCATTAAAAGAATCCAGTCAGCAACCTGGAGCAGACCCTGGGTGGTACACGGAGCATATGAAAGTGATATGACAATCCATTCCCGAACAATTTTTTGGTATAAAGAGCGAACAGCAGCTTCCCAAGCAGGATCATTGACAACAGTAGAAGGTGTGTCATTTTGAACCGAAAAAAGCAAGGAGTCAAGACAGGATGAATTCCACAAAACCTGCACATATCAGCTTCATTTGTCTGAAATATGGATTCAAATTAAAGAGCACAACTAGGAAAAAAAATGTAGAACAACCATCAGATGGGGAAAACATCGCCAATATAACTTCACCTGAGGAAATCTATCTCTAAGCTGAACCAATAAATTCACAGCAATATCCCGAATGTGCTCATCCCTCTGTGACATACTATTTATCAGAAAACAAGCATGTGCAAAAAGGGTTGATTCTCTAATCACAGCTTCATTGCCTGTTTCAGTTATTCGGTCTTCCTGAACACATATCACGACCTTCGTGAGGTTCATATAGCAGGATCATGTGCACATGCACAATACACACAAACAGAGATAGAGCAGGAGGGGCAACCAGTATTATACTAGAAGCAAAAGAGATGATAACTTGGATTGTTTGGGAAGGTCATCCAAGAGAATGTAACTTTAACAAAAACAAGGAATTTTAAATTACTCAATAACACAAATTTACTATACTTTCTTAAGGATGATGCACTCATTTTAAAATTACAAGAGAAAGAGATAAGAGTATGGTTGATCGATCATATTCAAAGGCGAAAAGTGTGCCAGATGGTACTATAAAGGATGTGCGAGCCACAAGGGGTAATACATATTCTTCACTTTTCAACTATCTATTTTAGAACTGCAGGAAAATTTTTAAAGTTCCCAAGAAAAGAAATTAAGAATACTCAAAGTTTGGCATTTTAAGAAATGAGGAGCATTCAGTAAACTAAAATATATATAAATATAGAAAACCAAGTCTAAGATATAGGTGCCTCATATTATAACAACTTGACTACCAGGCGTGCCTCACAAAGACCAATGCATAAACTGTTCTATCCCCTTGTATGAAAAATCGTACTCTTAGACATACCAGCCACAACACTGCTGTTTCAAATGCCCTGTGCACAATTGCTGTCAAACATTGGAAGACAGCTGGCATAAGATTTGGAGTTTTCAAGTATTCAAAGACACAACTGAAGGCACTTCTAGATGCAGTCAAACTAGTGCCACCATTAAGGATGCCACCATTACTGCTGAACCTTATTATCTCCAGGAAAGCCACAGCAAGAAGATAGGTTGCCTTAACACCTGTAAACAAACAAAAGCCAAAGAGGCATCAATCAAATAAACCTAATAGAAAAACAAACCAAAAAAATAAAGGATGATATAGACTACAGTGGAAGATGAGTTCCACCAAATAAGGGCCAAATAACAAGGTATTAACACACAAGAAACTGTTGAACGTGGAAATTAGACATATATCCACCATAAAGTGCAAGATGTTCGCTAGACCTGAAATTGTGCTCATTGCTCCAACATCAACTCGCCCACCTAAAGCAGCAGAAAGAGCTGTTCTTTGGCTTAAAGCAGCTTTCTCATTGCCACTCCCTCGACGACTGCCAGGGTTGTGAAGGGCATTCAGTTCCAACTCATCTTCAAGCCATTTCACAGAGCTGACCACCTGCAGAGAAACAAAATGTCAATTCAAATGGAAATTTAGTTTAGAAAAGACAGCCATCATTTAAAAAAAACACACACACACAAACTCAGGTCTAAATTTAGGGGTGGGGGAAGCTAGGCGGTTCTCTGTTCAGAATCATAAATAACTCAAGCTGAGCTGGTACAAGCACAATCCAAAACAAAAACCACAAGGCACAACCATACACCATAAAAGTAGGAGAGACTTATATGGATGTAACTGAATAAAGTTGCAAAAGCATGGGAGAGACATTGCAGTCCCTAGTCAGCCCAGCATAAAAGAATTAAATGTAAAAAAGCTTCCAACATTCAACATTTCATGCAGCCATCCCAACCACTGATCGTAGAGCCACCTGATTAAGACCATTTCCACTAGACAATTGCAACTTAATTAATATACTAATATCAAGTTTATTTGCGTAGAATCAAGTATAAGAAAAATATAAGCACATGACAGAGCAACCATTATTTGGCCAAAAGGTTAAAAAAAGAAAAGAAAAGACCATCCGTTGCAATGATTACATATAAATCTGTCTGACAAAAGTAATTAGCCCAATAGCAGATAAGAAAGAAAACGCTAATGATTTGTCAATGAAATACAGTAGACACTCAAGGAAGAATTCTTGAAGATCCACTTACAAGGGGAGGGGTCCCTTGAGCAATACGTTGAACAGCAGAAGACCAAAGTGCATTCCACATATATGGTCCAGCCACTGCTTGAAGGGCAATGGTACCCATGCTTCCCACACTGTTCAATGTAGTGGAAACTGATTTTGTAGGCATTTGAGTCTTCTGTATGGGAGGTGCCAATCCAAAAAGAGCAACATAGAACCACAAGTTGCGGAATAACTTCAGTAGTGAAGGTTCCACATCTACTGTAGGATCAAAATCAGAACATATCTCAGCAACAGCAGGAAGTAAGGGCCCCAGAAAATCAGCTCCACTCCTGCAAATTTTGAAATACTGGCAATAAAATATCTGGAACATGTTTTACAAGGAGGATAACAAAAAGGTTGTAGAAAGTAAGCCATACAACACAAAACCAGCAGAATACATGCATTGACATAAATTAAATAAGGAAAAGACAACTATATTGCAAATCAGTGAATATCTACCTTCCACTTTTTGACTCAGCAGCCAAGCCTACATCAGAGCACAAAGATAACAGGCGATGACGATAGTCTGAACGCAGTTTAGCACTCTTAAGACCAGTAGCAATCAAAAGAAATCCTGCAGGAAGAGTCTAGAATGTGATTGAACTAGTGAGCACCCAATCGATAAGAAAAACCCTAGGCAACTAAATAGTTACTTCTATGTCACAAATAATGCACACCTCAACACGTTCTGTAGTGGCCTCTGGCGCCAAAGTTTTGCTTTCAGCAGACCCTACACTTGATAGTTTACTCAAGTAACTTCTCGTCATCAGAACAACCGTCTCCCGATATGACTTCTCAAAACCTAAACTTGCCATGCGAGATACAGCATCAAGAAGCTGCAGTATATTGAAAGTAAAGATAAAAGTTGAGAAACCATGCCAAAGATCTAAAGAAGCAGAAGCCATAACTTAACTCTTTCAGTTTCTTGCGTATGTAACTAGTGGAAAAAGAAATTCAAAATTTATAATTACAAAATACATGCTCTAGAGAGAAGAATTTCATACTCGAAGTCGTAGTAAACTAGGAGTTATAGCATCACCCTCTTCCAAGCTTTCAATAAAAAGTGGCAGTATCATGTCCACCACTTCAGGCTTGCTGATAGCAACATTTAAATCAGCCAGCAAACGTATTACATTAAGCTGCACAGGTGGAACTGCCTGCTTCTCTTTATCATCCTGAAATTTGCATTAAAGTAAAATTAAATGGGGTTACTAGCTATTGGTTAGGCATAAGCATACATAAAGAAAACATATATAGCACCTAGATACTGCCTAAACAGGTACTAAGAAATTGATATGCAACAGATGATATCAATTTACTAATCCATCTCAAACAAAAATTACAAAAGTAACCTCTACATGTGCAAATGCAAAATACTCTAGCTAAAGGTAATGAAATGAAAAGAAAAATTGACAATTTGAAACTAAATTGAGAACATAGATTGTATAACCACACAACAAGAGAACACATTTTTATATATATGCTGGATGTATAAGTGTTCAGTGCATTAGGCCAACGCACATGCACATGCACTTTGTTGTATGTCTTAATCATTCAATAGCTAATATTATACCACCAACCTGCTCCTCATAATCATTTCTCTCACGAATACTTGTAGCTAATCCCATGATAAATGTATCTATTGGAGCCCGGTCTTTGGTCCAACCAGATTCAATAATCTCACAACATGTCTTAAGAACACTCTCAAACATGGCTCCCTGGCTGCTGCCCCAAGTATCAGCCTGTTACAATCACATTGTAAAGAAAAGCAAAAAAAATAAATAAATAAATCAACATGTAAGACCATCTTTGAGATGCAAAAATCTAAAACTGTACTTGAATACATACCTGCATACATGCAGCCAGAACAAGGGGTTTAAGACGAATGAGCAAAACACGCAATGGCTGCCCTCCCCAAGAGGCAGCAACTTGTGCAATCCCAGAAAGCAAGGAACTAAATAGCTCCTCGCAGACTCTCAACTTTCGCCATACACAGAGCAGACATGCTTCAGCAGCATCTATCAACAGTGCAAGAGTCTCAAGCACCAATTTCTTTGAGGTCTTAGTATCCACATCAAGAGATACAAGACTTTTAATTTGCATCCTAGCAGCAGCTTGATAAACTGATAGTTTTGCATTAATTCTGGATTTTAAATGCGGTCCTTGTTCAGTCCAATCACGCTTCCTTATCTGCATATCAAGTCAAAATTATGCCCATCTCATTTTTCATTACCCATTGCTTCAATTAAGTTCCAATGCTAACTTAATCAACAAAATGAGTACAAGTTACCTCCCATTTCTTCAACAAAGTTCACTTACTAACTTCTCCTATATTCCTAAATTTAATGAAAATAAATAAAATACCACAAAATATACTCGCATTTACCTTTAGAAATGCAGACATAGACTGAAGCTGCTTCTTCGCAATAAACCTCACTTGCTCCAAAAGCTTTTGATCAATGCTTACTTTGTCCAAAATATGAGCAATCAATTTGAAAGCAACTTCTTGCTTCTCCAAGCACTCCACAGACTCTTCCTCAAACAAAGCAACTTGTTGCCTAAACATAGACCCACCTCCATCGTTGATCAAATGCACGTTCCCTAGCTGATCAGCGCCACTCTTCCAATAAACGCCGCCTCCGTTTGCCATCAATGACCCTCTGGATGAATCATTCGCCGGGCTCAAAACCTCATTGCCTTGAAAATGGTTGACGCTCAAAGGTGAACTTTGAGAAGACGATGTCTCCGAGTTAACTGGAATTAGCTCCCTCGGTGATGCGGGAACTGACATGGCCAACTGATCAAAAAGGTAATTTATCAACTTATCTGCATCGGGTGGTAAAACAGGCGGAAAATTCTGTGATAAAGCCAACAAGAAAGCCCTAGATATTGCCGAATCGTTGCTGTTTGTATCGTTGTTATTTACCGCGGTTGTAACTACCTCCCCGACCAACCCGGCAATCTCGGAAGCGAAATCAGGGGACGAATCAGCGGATTCAGACACATATTTCAAGAAATCGACGAAGAATGAACCAATTGAATCGGAGTTGTATGATTGCGGCCAAAAGGAACGACGAAATGACGCCGGAATGGCCCGAATAAACTCTAGCATCGCCGATTTGGGGCGGTTATCCGTGCAATGGGAGCATTTAGAGAGAAATCGCGCGACGGCGAGCACCGCATTGAGTTGCGACCGTGAAACCCTAGGCGATCCGCCCAGTAGCGACTCCGGCTGCGGGCATCTGTCGCAAATCCAGACGACTTTCTCGCTAAATTGCTGCGGGTTTTTCGCTATAATGTCGCAGAGTTCGATCATTGACTCCATTTGCGATCACCAAAATTCTGAATTACAATCCGATCGGATTTCGTCACTGAAAAGATCGCAAAAAAAAATTCAAAGAAAAATGTTAGGGGTTTTGGATTTTCATTTCGATATTAAGAAGCTGCTTCGTAACGTCGCTGTTGGTTCTGTTTTTGTATTTGTCACCGATGTTGCCATTGTCTCCTTTTTCATTTTATTTTTTTTCTCGTCCTCTGCTGTTTATACATTCATATCTTTTTTTTTCTGTTCTGTTATGTCCTTTTAATGGATTTAATGGCGAAAACGAGATGTTTGTTTCTCCTGACGCCTCTCCGTCTCGGATCCCCTTTTTTTTTTCTCTCAGCGCGCTTTCGTCTATGTTCCTCTTTCAATCCGTTGCCGTATCAGTGCAACTCGGTGAGTTAGTTACAAGTCGCGTGACTGGGTGATCTGTGACTCTTTGTTAATCTTAAAAAGGGCAATTTGTTTTGGCTGGCCGTGGCCGGTGCTTATTGACTTTGATTAGTTTAGTTTAATCACATGGAAGCCTGAATTGTTAGTTTTAGTGTACTACAATTAATTATATCTTTATCTTTAAAATTTGGATTATTTATAAATTAAATACATTGACAAATAGTAAAGATTTTTATAAAAATAAATAGTAACTTAAATAATTTGAGAATGGAAAATATTTTATCTTTATCTTTAAATTGTGCACTATTTATCTCTTGAGGATCAAATTTTGACAATCCCGGATGTAATTTCCTAGTAACTGTAACTCATCACATACTTAGCAGCACTAAGCACGTGTTACATCTAATTAATAAATGCATAGCTGTCAAGGGCGCCGTTTTAATTATTGCTGCCTGCGCAGGTAGCACGGTTGGGGAATCTATATATCTCTAGGACATGATTCTTCAATGCAAAAGTACTTGGATTAAGCTACTTTAGTGAAGTTAGATTAGGATAACATCCTTTTCTTTTGGAAAGGATAGGTATGTAATTCCGAATTGTTAAGACATGCTCGGCTGCTTTTTCCAATGGCATGTTGATCAAAGCTTAAAGGGGTTATGGTTTCTTTTTTCCAAAGAGATGCTAAAGACTCTGCAATTATCAACTACTTCCACCAACTTTTTGTTTCTTTGCCTTTAGTATCGACAGGAAAAACTTTTAAGAACAAAGAAATATTAGTGGGAATTGGGAGCCACCACGCCTTAAAAAGATAGGAAATCTCTTGTTCAAAGGATTTTGGAGCTCTGAGAACAAAAATGGCCGCCATTGGTAAAGCCCACAAATGTTTTCAGTCCCAAACTCCAAGATGCAGTGTCTGACTCTGGACCAGTGAAACAACTCCAAGAGGGTTAAGTCTGAAGCAGTCCCTGAGCACAAACCCATTGCCCCCAAAAGCAAGCAAAGAAAATGGGGGAAAAAAGGGAAAGAACAAACCCTGCATTAAGGTTTTTGGTTACATGTCCACATAGATTGGTTTGGCCTCTCTGTTCAAATATGCTTCTGAATTGGGAAAATGATTCCCCCCCACCCCCCCACCTCATAGAGCATTAACAAAGATCATTATGTTTATAACATCAAATTGGCTAATGAATTTAGCTAGAAAGAAAGAAAACAACTAAATCCAGAGCAGTTTGATCAAACACTTGCTCTTTCTGTGTTGCATAGGTGAATCAAGAAAATTAACACAGGAGCATTGCCTTCACGAAAGTCTAAATGTTACTGTACTGCTCAATTATTCTTACCCAACTCCCTGGTCGCTGTTCGAAACATAAGCGTGTTGTCTCCATTCAAGCAGAGAGAAACGGATTAAAAAGGGGAAAGCAACACACACTTTTAGTAGCTCATTAAAGCTTTCATGCTTGTCATCAGGGAACTTAATTTGCAGGAAGCCACCAACTCCTTGGAATTTTATAATGTATTGATGTATCAGGAATCAAGACCTACATTGGTAGTAATTTGGCTGTGCAAATAACAACTTATTTGGCAGGCTAATTGACTTGACATCTTGCAGTGAACCAAACAAAATATAAATCCCATTTAAGGAAACAAGGTGGAATAATTTTAAGGAATAGAGCAATTCTAAGATGTGCTGTACAGGAAAAAAAAATATATTTTATCAAACACTTGTCTGGCCATATAAATAACTGCAGTTTATAAAACAGGAAACATCTATCTAATTACGATTGACATGCACAACAAATAGTAATACTAATAATAACAATGATAATAATGAAACGGTGTAGTTTATGTATTAGCATAAATAGGATCATAAGACCTAATTTACTAAAACCTAAAACCTGGATTGTAGAGGAAAAAGCCTAGGTAGGTACCAAGTTAAACTGACCTTGATCAGTCACCGAAAACTACTGCAATTTACATCCTTCCTGAAATGAATCAAATCATAAATCCTAATGCGCAAGTGATGAACAAGCTCATCTACTAAAAGGGCCATTAGGATCTAGTTGTTTGCAAAGACCAAGGTAAGTCAGGTAAAGAACACGATCTTTAGCCCCGGTACGATGATTGTTGGTGTGCTTGCAAAAATACTTCAACTGCTCAAGAGTACAGCATCCCAGCATTTGCCCAAGAAGCAAAAAGAGCCAGTTGATCGATTTCTTATTCTCGGAAATCACTGGCTTGACACTGTTTTCCTGATCACACAACTTGCATTTGGGTAGCACCGGATTCATCCAAACAGGTGGAGCCCTGTCGTGCATGGCATTCTTGTTCTCCGCTATAAAAGTCCCAACTTCAGCGAACTTGTCTCTCAGATCATAACCAATCTCGTACTGTCGCTCACACCTCTTGCATTGAACATCACCGATGATTGTGTATATTTGTTTTGACAACAAATAGTTGACGCTATGCACCGTGGCTCGATGCGTTGTGGCCCATGGAAATGGCGCTGGAACCGTCTCGCTTTTCCCTTCTCTCAGGGCCTGTGTAGGGTTCCTGCGAACACGTACAGGACGTGACCGGCTTGTGCCAGGGACAGGCGACGGTACGGGCTCTTGTGGGTAGACGAGGGGGGCAGAAGACGAGGCTTCTGAGCCAAAAGGAATATTGTAAAGAGGATGGGAGGCGGGTAGCTGGAAAGGGAATTGGGGCGGTGGTTGGGAAAGCAGTGTTTGCATTGACAAAGATTGGGAAACTATTTCTTGGGGTTCTTGTTGCTGTGGCAGCAGCAGCGTTAGTGGAGCCGGAGCGAGTGGCTCTGACAATGTAACTTTGGTCTCCCTTGGACCATATGACAAAGATAATGCCAGTAAATCGCTGTCTTCTTCATCGAATTCGTAGCACCTTTTCGAAACTTGAAATTCCTGATTGCTCTTTCTTTTCTTGCTCATTTCCTGTTCCTCCGTCATAACTAGGGCAAAGAAAAGAGAGAGGAGACTGATAGTCCGTTGAAATTTAAAAAAATGGGTAAAGCTTTGGAGATAAAGATAGAGAGGATCTTATATAGGCATTTGGATTGCAATAGACTTCTTTCTTTTTCAAATCTTGAGAAGACTGCTCAGATTCTTTTTGTTAGTTATGGAATTTGTGGCTGCCTAGCTAGGGTTAACTTCTTCCCGCGAGGATTTGCTGTGGTGACTGAGGGTGATCCGGACAAGCATCACATACGTCCGAGTTCACTGAAGCACTCTGTAATTTCACCATTTACTCCGGTGACTCCCTATTTCACCATTTACTCTAATGACCTGTTATTTGATAGTGAAATAGATTTATATTATTGGTTCATATATTGTTGAATTAGTCAATGTCCAGGTGATTTTTTTTTAAAAAAAAAGTCATTTGGAAAAAATACCATAATTTTATCTTGAAATGTGTTTAAAATAAATAACATGTCAAAATGAATGAACCAGGATAAGTGTTATTTTATTTTTAATTTTAAAACCTTTTTAAGATAAGCTTGTAAATTTGGATTAATAATTTATAATTTTTCTCTTTACATTTAATTTTTGCTTTTCTTTTTCATCAAGCTCAATCTACACATTTTTGTGAATCTGATCAATGTCTTAAAATGCCTGTTTAATCATGATAAAACATTATCAATGTCTAAAAATACGTGTTTAATTATAATAAAACAAAGTAGAATGTCTTGGATAAAGTGACATTATCAATGGAAGTTAATTATTATTATTATTATTATTATTATTTGACCAAAACCTGCTTGGCAACAGATACGGACAAAATCGAAAGAGCCATGGGACATTTTATCTAGAGAGCAGTCAAAGTCGAAATAGGAAATTTTTGATTGTGTGGAAGCAAATTAAAACACTCATAAGAAGTTGAATGCTGATGGTAACGGCAAGGGCCTACCTGGCATGGCAGGGACGTAATGCAGGATGGTTATCGTAATTGAATTGTGAGGTTTATATACAAGATTGGACTCTCTTTTCCCTTTATAATTGAATTGTGGACTCTTTATTAAAAACTTATTTCGTGCTGTAATAAAGATTTTTAAAAAATTCAAATTGAATCAGATTCATTATTAACTGTGCAGAAACTAGTTACTTCATTTCTATTAAATTCGAATGCTCATTTTTTGAAATGAATTAAGAAATTCGTTAACCACATGTCATGATAACCTATCATTAAGATGACATCTATTTGATTTTTCACCCGAAGATATTTCGTATATTTTATTTACAAACATTTTAGATATCTCATAATCTAAAACGATGTAGTTTAGTTGTTTATCCTCAATATATAAAAAATTTATTCAAAGTGATTTTTTAAAAAATCAAATAGAATTTTAGTAAGAATACTTTAAATTTATTTTAAAGGATGTCTAAAATAAATAGGCAGATGTTCAAACTTCAATTACTAATCTATAATTTATCTCTCCGTAATAATTTTTGCTTTCCTTTTTTGTCAAGCCCAATTTATATACTCTTTGAATCTGATCAGTGTGCAAAAAACACGTGTTCAATTTGAATAAAACAAACCAAAATCTTTGTTGTAGTATCATGACATTATGAATGGAAGTTAATTATTACTTTATTAGTACATTGGAAACTATAACGATAGAAATTATCCATGTCAAAGTAATTTTCTTTTTTTTAAAAAAAAATAGAGTTTTATTTGGAGAAAAACACTGTAATTTAATTTTGAACCACAAGAAGGAGATAAAGAGTTTTCTAATTTTTAATTTTAAATACTTTTAAAGATTCAAATTTTGATCACTAATATCTAATTCATCTCTCACAATTAATTTTGGCTTTTCATTTGTCACAAGTCCAATCTATATGCACTTTGAATCTGACCAATTTCCAAAAATAAGTGTTTACTTAAAATAAAACAAGCAAAAATGTCTTGATTACGATAACCTTATGAAAATTAATTATTATTACTTTACTAGTACATTGGAAACTGCAATAGTAGTAATTATCAAGGCTATTTTTTAGAAAAGAAAATAGAGTATCATTGGGAAAAAAAATCGTAATTTTATCTTAAAATATGTCTACAATAAATAGACAGATATCCAATGAATGAACCACAAGAAAGAGATAAAGAGATTACTAATTTCTGAATTATCTCAGTTATTTTTTGCTTTTTCCTTTTTCCTTTTTATCAAGCCCAATCTATATACTCTTTGAATATAACCAATTTCCAAAACGGTAAACATCTCAATGGCAGTTAATTTGTTTATTAATATTACTTTACAAGCACACAGTAAGTATAGGTTTAAAATAAATAAGGTTGATTCTCTCGTCAAATCCAATTACATCACTTTAAATCCGATTATTGTCTTAAATCTCTCTTTGAATTCGACTAACCTCTAAAATGCCTGTTTAGGGTTAGAGATAATAAATTGAATACATGATTAAGGTTGGAGATAAATACAAAATTACAATATATGTTTTAGATATGATAAATCATAATTATCAACATCCTACGATATTTATGATAAATATTTTATAATATTAATGAAAAATAATACATGATAAAATTTTTAATTTTTTTAAAATAAAATTTCGTTTATTGAAGTATATAAGTCTAACAAATTAGTAAGAAATTTACAATTTTTTTTTCGAATTAAAAAAAAAACGACATTTTGATATCACTATGAATGCTCTCTTTAATCTCTGCAAAGCAATAAAAAATAATATAAAACTGTATGAATATACAATTGTGACAATGTTCCAAGCATAAACCTTCCTGAGGCTGAGTTTGAAGATCTACCGGTTGTTGTAAACCTCAAATCTTTGTAGTTTTTACAATTTCACTGCTAACATAAAACAACAATAAAGAATGCCTCCAAGGTTATTAAAATTCTATTATCATATTAGATTTTCATTCGAACTTATTCAGATGGTTCCACAAATTAATTGAATACAAATGAAATCAACTTTTGCTTTGATATATTTTTTTTAAAGGTAATTTTATTAGTTCTTTAACAATTTGTTAAAAACTTTTACTGACATAAAAAGAGACTTGTGCATAAGAAAGTACACAAAAGCAACAGAACTGCTTGACAAAAATGCTTGTGCCTTTGCTTTGATGTTAATCATAAACATCTTTGTCCAATTAGTTTTGTGGAACTGCAACTTAATGGAGTAAAATAAATACTGGCTTCCTTTAAGCAGTATTTTTAAATTAATCAAACCGAGCCCCGCCTCGACAATGGGGATTGTAAAGAATCCAATTGAGTTGAAGGAAAAGGAGGTACTCGACTCCTAACCAATGTTATCATCTTATCCCTACCCAGTTGCCCGTTTTTTATAAGGACTTCAAGCAGTGAACGAATGGTATCCACAGTCAGAAACCAATTCTTTCTCATGCAGTCTTTACACATTGTATAAGCCATATTGTACTCCCCTCCCTTGCGGAGATGATGAATCATGGTCTGGTAAATCTTAACATTAATTTGGCTTATACTCCCTGCAACATTCTAGAGAAGAATAAACCCTTTTAGCCATTTCAAGATAACCAGCCCGGCAGAAGCCCTTGGTTACCAAATTGTATGTAATCTCATCAGGGACAATCCCCATTTTCGGCATCAAATCATTAGCTTGCCATACCCTTCTCCTATCAAGCAAATACTGAATCCTGACATTAAAAGTTGTAAGATTAGGTTTGCACCCGGCCTTAAATACGATAAGATTCCACTATCTATTGCCAATCTCCAATCTTTTTTCTTTTTTGATAAAATGCTGATATAAGTGTTGTGTACGTAATGACATCTGGCTTAATTCCCAGCTTTTCCATATCTACCATAACCAAATAAGCTCTTTTTAAAAAATCCATTTCACAGAATGTCTTGATAACTATATTGACAGATTAAGTACATATCCAATTGAACATTGAATTCTTGTGGAACATCAGTACGTATGAAATGCCTCAATAGCTGTTTGAATCAAAACCTTGAGTGCATCATTGAAAGACGTAACAGTTCTCTTGCATCCATACAAATGCATATCATAAGAAGTGTCAAGAGCATGCTTTATGATCCCAGCCTTACCATACAACATTGTAATCCTCTCATAATGAAGCCTTCTCATTTACCCCGTGGAAGAGTTTTCTGGTGCTCAAGCAGATGCTCAATGTAATCATTTTCTGGTGCTCAAGCAAATGCTCAATGTAGAATAATTTTATACGTTCATAAATCATTGACTATCAAATATCATTTAAGTAAATCAAAGATTCAATTTTTCAAACTCGTAAAGTTTCATCATCTTTGGCTACAATCACTATTATTACTCGTGACAAAGACCGTATCAACAAATCATTCTCATAGTTATTACTAATTATTATATCCTGTTATAAGACCGTATGCTAACTACTGTAACTTGTTAGCGAAGCCATATATATGCTAACTACTATAACCTGTTAGCATGATTGTATAACTAATTCTAATGTTAATTATCCCACTTTTCAAAAATCATTTCATAGCTCTTAAAACATTCTTTAAAGCTAATCAAAGATTTCATTTCATTCATTGATATTGTCTTAGATTTGAAAAAGGAGTTTTACGATCACCTTTTAATGATAAATCTAACATGTAAGAGAGTCATATGCACACAGATTGCATAGATAAATGCACAACAACCCATATGAAAGGGATCCAATAACTGTTAAGAAGAGTAGCAGCTAAGTAATACTTTACATATTTAAGTTTTTCTTGTTTGTTTATTATTTTACTTGCATAACAAGTAAGTCTAGTTTTTAGGATATTTATTTTTATATTATTTATTTTACTTATATTCTAAAAAAATTTAAGATTAGAATACTTTCTTATTCAATTTATTTGCGTTATAGGTAAATTTTAAGATGACTATTTCTATAAATAATTCCTTTATATTTCATTGTAAAATTAAATAAGGTTTTCCTGAATCTATTATTTTGAAACACTGTAAAACTGAACAGAATTGTTTTAACTTTATTCTTTTAGATATTTTATTTTTCAATAACCTTTCAATTTATATTATCCAAACTTGTTATTTATACTAAATTATTCATACTAAGCTCTAGCATAAGAAAACGACTTAGATCCAAATATTATAAATAACTTGATAAAAGTCTATATATTTATCACACGATAATATCAATATCTTAATTCAGATGTTATTTGGGCTGAAATATTACACAATGTCTAATCGGTAAAACACTTCATCCCTCATTTAGTTATTTACAAATTTTATTTGTACGGTCTTGGGCCTTGGGGTATAAGCAAAAAATTTAAAAAATAAAAAAGGCAAATGAATCAAGTTGATATATATGCTCAACCACATGCTAAGTCGATCCAATATGAAACAGGGATTGGTACATTTGTTGCTTAGATTATGCAGGATAAGTTGGTAGCAATTGCAGACATCAATAAATTTCTATGTGCCTCTAATACTGTCATGCTAGCGTAATCATGATTACATACGTAGAATTCATATATCTGATTGATGTTTTTTTCTTTCGATATTATATATTAAACATCCGTCTCAATTTAAATAATTAGTTTAACAAAAAATGATGATTAAAGGTATCACATTGAATGTTTTTGAAAGTTTTAATCAAATATTAAAAGAAATTATGCTTCATGTATCATTTAAATTAACCAATTAGGAGTCCCGATTTGGTGTGATATATAGGGGTGGCCAAAATAAGTTAAACATATGTGGAAAGGCCAAACCCTAATATTGCCAAAGGGAGGAAAAATACTTTGATCCTACCCTCTGCCATCAGCTTTCCACTGCCCATAGCAAAATCCCCTCCCCTCCCCTCTCTCTCTCTTTCCCGTTCCTCCAGTTTAATAACTTTTGCGAATCCAAGGTAATTCCTACAATATTATGCTAAGTATGCTCATTTTGATCTATCTCCAACAAGTTTATTCAATTCTTTAGTGATTAGTTGATGTAGATTGGTAATTTTTTATTATGCTGTTTTTATCATAAACCTGGTGGAGATTCGATTAAGATTTAGGGATTTGTTGATTATTAGAATAATTCAATCCAAAGTAAATTTTTGGGGAATTTGTTGGTTATTGGAATTATAATTAATGGATTCAATTATTTCTTTCTTATTAAAATTTTGAGTTAATTATATTGTTTAGGTTTTAGTTGTGTGAAAAGAAGAAGTAAATGTACGTGGATTGACAGTTGATTGTTAATGGACAACGTCGTCGATTCCTTAAACAATGCCTATCAAGAATTTGTTTCTGCCGCGGCTAATGTGCTGGAAGCCAAGGCGTCTTGCAATGGTGAGACGGCGGCAGCAACGGGTGCTGCGTTAGAAAACTTCAAGAATAAATGGGAAACGTTCAGAGCGGCTTGTGACCAAGCGGACGAGTTCGTTAATTCTCTCAAGCAAAGTATAACATCCAACGCCACATTCCCTGTTAACGAGGACATGATTGATATCTTTGACAATGCAGCAGTTGATTTTGATTAGAGAAAGGTGCTGCATATTATTTTCTCAAGCAAAGCATATATAAATATATATATATATATATATATATATGTTTGGCTTCAATTTCGATCTTTGCTTTCCAAGATAAAAGTAATTGAGCTCAATTACTTTGAATAGATTTAATGGGATGAACAGTGAGTTAATCTTTTACTGTTCAATTTGAGAATATTATAGTGTAGAGCTCAAGTGATAAATTATTTTTTTTTTTGAGTTTCTATAAGTTCTAGTGGCCCTGCATGAGCAATAAAACATTTTTAATTTTGTTTTTAAATTTTTATTTTATTTTATTTTAATTTATTTTATTTATTCTTATTTCTCGTCTGACTTCTATATTCTAATCTACTATTACATATTCATTTTGTTTTTACTCTATAGCTAATTGTATAAAACAAAATTTAACAAACTTTAGATGGAAATGTGAGAAACTAGAATTTCTTCATTCGTGCTATTATTTGAAATCAATGCTGGTGCTCATACTATGTGGGTGAGTCCCCTTTTTTTTAAATTGAATTAATTGAAAATTTTGATTAGAACAGTTTCGGTTTTGATTTTTTTTAATTAATTGAATTGATAGTTTAATGTATTTTCACCTATGTTTGTTAAAATATTTTAATATTTAAACTAATTGAAATATTTTAATATTGTTATTAAACTTATGGTATTGTTACAATTTCATAATTTAATTTCATTTATTTTATAATTAATAACATAAAAAATGAAACTAAGAAAAGTTGTGATAATTTGAGTTGACATGGATTAATTTGGTTATTGGTAATAAGCCAATTCGTGATTTTCAGTTGGTTCAATTAGGTTTTAAATAAGATTCTGTTAATATAAATTTTTTACCTCTACTCAAATAGCGATTTTTTTGGTTAGGCCGGTCGTTAACAAAAAGCAGAAGCCAAACGGGAATGCAACAAATACACTTATTTGCTGATAATCTGGTAGAACAAATTATTCATTTGCTATATATTTTGAATTAAGTTGTTGATTAAGTTGCCAAAAGCTTGGAACAAATATCTTTCTTTCAACACCATGTTAATTATAAATATTTACGGATTTAGGATACAGTTACATAATATTTTCCGATTATTTATATAAAGTATAATGTTTAAATAAATTATTAAATTATTTAAATAAATTTTTATTTTTTTAATACATTCAATCAAATCCCTATACTATTATTTTATATCAAATAAGTTTTTATGATTAATAATTAACTTATTATCATGAGTTATAATTTCACTTGTCATTTTATATCTACATATTATTAACATAACAACGATGTGAAAAGTAAAAAATATCACATTATAATGTTATCATATTAAATTAATATATTATATTATCATCAATTATGATAAATTTATATATTATATTATCATTAATAATAATATAATAATTTACCTAACGGTTCTATAAGCCTCTGGGTTATTGTCAAATTTGATGTTTTCATGTGAAATGTCATGATTGATACAAGTCTTTGGGTCATGTCTCATTAATTTGGGGTTTACATGATTGTAATTTGAATCATGAAAATTTGACTTTTATATGTTTTCTTTTGCCATGCCTCTATTTTGTTTTCATTACTATATATATATATATATATATATATTGTATTTCAAGTACTTAAATAAAATTATATAATATTAGAATTTTTATATTGTATGTATGTCTTAATTCCAGTGGTGAGTTTATTTAGTTGCTTATGAGTTGGTGCATATTTTAGCTACGATTTTGCATCAATTTGAAAAGACTTAGTAAGGCTTATGTAATACATATAATTTAAAACTAAATTAATGTAATATTTATACTGGCACTAAATTAAAAATTTTAAAATACAAAAAAAAAAGGAAAGACCCGCAACCATCTCTTTGCCTATTCTTTGACTTAGTAAGTTATTTAGATTTAGGAATGAATTTAATAAACTCTTTGAAAAAACAAAGGAATGAGTCTAATTAAGTTCCTCCTCCTCCGTTAATGGCATTCTTGCTCGTCAAATGCTTGATGGATATTTAACAGATATTTAAGTAATAATTTTAAAATTTTAATCATATATTTATAAAAAATTTAAATATTTTATCAAATAATAAATTCGAGAAAACAACATCTAGATACCTTACTTATTTGACATTCTTTAAGAATAAACCCACAATCCACTCAATAAAATTGTACAAATGTTGTCGGTTTTGTAGGTTGGAATCAAATTTTTGGCCCCCAAGTATACAATAATTCATTCAATTAACCCTCGGATACTGTTTCAATGTAAAAGAAAAAAAAGGTTAAAAAACTTATTTAATTTTTATATTTTTCAATTTTGTTCAATTTAATCTCTACACTTAAAATCAAAGCAATTTAATCCTTTAATTTTAGTAATTGCGTCAATTTAATCTTTTTTCATAATAGCATTCAATTTTATCATTAAAGGATGGCGCCATCACTAATGTGTAATTTTTGATGACATGGCATCAAGTGATGACGTGACAATACCTTGTGACAGTACTGACGTGATATTGATATGTTGACATGTTAATATCATATGATAGATCAAAAAATTTTAAAAAAAATTTTATTGCCACATCATAGGGACTAAAGTGAATAAAAATATATAATATAGAAATTAAATTAAACAAAATTAAGATGTTGAGGGACTAAATTAAAAAAATATTTTAAAAATATAAATATTTAAGTAGAATTTTAATATGTTTATTAATAAGTCAAATATTTAAATGTAAAAGATTTATGGTGGTAATATACATATATATATATATATATAATATATATATTCTTACTTGATTATTTGATTCAAGAATATGCAAATTAATTTATCTTTTTTACAAAAATTAAGTTTGAATTCTTCTTCTATAAAAAAAATTTAAAAAAATTTCATATTTGAAGTCAAATTTAGATGAATAACTTGTATTATGTTAAAATAATAAAATATAAAATAACTAAATAAATTATTTTTTCTTCTATCTATAATACTATAAAAATTTGAAATTTATTTAACTTAGTTTTTAACTTAAGTTAAAGTCAAATAACCAAAATATATTGAAATAATTTTTTCTTTAAAAAAAAATGAAGAACAAAGATATGGAGTTAATAATGATTATAAAAGCAATCTATCATACTTACTTAATTTAGACATAACAAACTTCTTATTACAACCATAGAATCTATTTCAATTATTTATTTATTTTTATGTTTTTATTTTGTTTAATATTTCAAGTTATATTTTTAAATTGATTTTTTTTAAATTAAAAACTATATTTATGATTGATAAAGTTAAATATAACTATAAATATTTATACTATTTTATTTTATTAATAAATTTTTTTATAAATCCAAATTAATAATTTAAATTTAACAGAATTTGATTGTAGTATTTAAATTTAAATAAATTCATTTTATAAGAATTTTTTAGTAAATTTAAATAAAAGGTAAATTAGGTAAGAGTTGAATAATTTCAAAAAAATGTATATTTGTAAATCGTAAAAATTGTAACTAAATCAACATATTTTTCTAATTTAAGTAAATTTAAATAAAAGATAAATTAGATAAGAATTGAATAATTTTGAAAAAATGTGTATTTGTAAATTGTAAAAGTTATAACTAAATCAATATATTTAGTCATTTTATATTATTTTATTTTGACATAATGTAAGTTATTCATCTAAATTTGACTTTTAAGTATGAAATTTTTAAAAAATTATTTTTATATAAGGAGAATTTAAATTTAATTTTTGTAAAAAAATAAATTAATTTTTTTAACCCATGCCCTTAAAAATAAATTAATTTATGGATTCTGGAATCAAATAATTAAATAAAATATATATATATATATATTTTAACACTATAAATCTTTTACCCTTAAAAACTTATTAATAGGTATATAAAAAATCTACTTAAAAATTTATATTTTTAAAAAAAAATTTAATTTAGTCTCTCAACATCTCAATTTTATTCAATTTAATCTCTATACTATGTATTTTTGTTCACTTTAATTCTTATAACATAGTAAATTTTTTTAAAAAATTTTTTGATCTACTACGAGATATTGACATATCAACATGTCAGTGCCATATCAGCACTACCACACTATCACTCAATGTCATGTGACATATCATGTCATCAACAGCGATATGTCAATGATGACGTTATCGTTTAATAAAAAAATTAATTACCGTTAAGAGAGGAACTAAATTAACATAAATTTTAAAATTAAAAAAAGTAAATTAATTTGATTTTAAATATATAAATTAAATAAAATTTAAAAATATAAAGACTAAATAAATCTTTTGACAAAAAGAAAAAGAACACTAGATTTCCGGATTATTTTGGGCCATATAAGCACAACAACATCTAGCAAAGGACCAAAACCCAGATATTGCCGAACGAAGGCCCATTAATATAGCCGCGCTTTACGGGCTCTTTACTTACGCGTTCGACAGCGGTTGTAAAACTAAATCTCTCTCTGTCTCGCTCGTCAAGCTAGAACGCCGACCCGATTCCGAGGTAATGTCTACCATCCGATTATTGCTAACTACGCTATCAAATTCGTTTTGTTCAAATTTGGGGATTAGTTGATTTGATGGTCTCATAAATTTCGTCTGTTTATATAATTTAGTTGTGCAAATAAAGTAAATTTTCTGTTATTTAATTCACAGTTAAAAAGATTGGGAGTAATGGACAACATAGTAGATTCCTTAAGCAGCGCCTATCAAGAATTCGTTGCTGCGGCGGCTAATGTTCTCGAAACTAAGGAAACTTCGGCTGCCCAAAAGACGGCAGACACGGATGCTGCCTTGGAAACCTTTAAGCAGAAATGGGAATTGTTCAGAGTGGCTTGTGATCAAGCGGAGGAGTTTGTTGAGTCAATCAAACAGAGGATAGGGTCCGAGTGCCTTGTCGATGAGGCCACGGGGTCTATGGCTGGGAAGTCGGGTCAGGCTTTGACAACTGGTCTTCCTCCCATTAGTGCTGTTCGTTTGGAACAGATGAGTAAAGCTGTCCGGTGGCTTGTGATTGAGTTGCAGCATGGTTCGGGAAACGCGGGTGGTGCAGCTCATGCCCACCCTTCTGCCCCTTTCGATGCTAGATTCTCGGAGGATGCTGCTCAGTAGGTATAGGGTTGTTGTTTTGTACACGGGAACTCCACAAGCTTCTTTGAATGTCTTCCGGGTGTCGATTTTGTTACTCATTGTTCATTTCCCTATTTACAGTTAAATAGACACATGGTAAGCATTGAAAGTTGCTTGCGGAGTGATAATAATCCATAGGTATATCAATTTATGTTGTTTGAGTTAGTTGTAGAATTCTAAGGGCAT